CCAAGAACTAAAAGGACCCTTCCCTCCCCTGCCCCCCCCCCAAAAAAAAAAAAAAAAAAAAAAAAAAAAAAAAAAAAGGAATAGTGTGTCCTGTACAGAATAGTCTGCAAGAACAGGAATGAGACACAGGAGGTGCAGTACAGGAGACTTTAGAGTTCCCAAGTTTTGACTGTTTGGTAAGTGGCCACATCCTGCTCACTTATTTGTGTGAATGGTATTAGGGATTATCTTCACACACAGTTGTACTAGTTTAATTAAACATGTAATTCTGAATAGCCATAGTGGTACAAAAAGGCTGTTTGAGTACTCCCATATAAACCTGACTTACAGTAGTTTAACTAAAAATCTATTTCTAATCCACCTAAATTAAACTGAAATAAGCCACTAAGGCCTGGGCTACACTTGGGGTGGGCGGGGGGGGGAGGTTTCAAACTAAGATACACAACTTCAGCTACGCTATTCAGATCCGGCAAGTAGTGAGGACGTACCCTAAGAGAGCGGCTATACCCTGATTTCAGTTACACCAGTGCAATGCGTATGTGCAGAAAAAGCCTAAGCCTCTTTGCTGTCTTTCGATCTGGGTGCTAATTAGTGCAAACTGCAGTGACTGTATTTGACATATCAAAATATTTTAAAACAGATTTTAAAATAATCCAGGAACAAAAGAGTTTATAAAGTATGCAGATTGACCACCATTACAGATAAACACCACTACTGTACTGTTAAGGAAAATCAGCATGGTAGATCATGTATTATAGGGGGTTCACTCCTGACATCAACAAGGACAAAGACTGGACCTGTGATACACATGGAATCATGAGAGATGGGTTTTGCTGATTTCCATATACATGATTTATTATTGTAGGCAATTGTTAAAATAAACAGTGACTATGGAAAAACAGAGACCCCACTAAACAAAAAAGCCTTGTTGACTAGTCCACCAACCAGGTCAAAGATGTTTATGTATATACAAAGTAAACAGTTCTAAGTTTGTGATATATCAATTTAGTCAGAAAAGAGAAAGACATTTAATATTTCTACAGTTACAATGAGTATATTTAATTAGAATTTAGGAATTCTACTTTCAAAAATCACTATCTAGAACAGAGGCAGGGTTGTGATACTGTACAATAAACATTTAGCTCCCAAGTAGCAGAATTATTACTTCTTAAAAAAATTCAAAGATGCAGCTCTCAGGCACTGAAGGCTTTTAAAGTAGTTTCTACTCTGCAGAGTGAGATTATACATGTTTGTAGGATAAAAGCACAGGAAATTTAGATTTAACCTGTCTGTGCAGATAGCTTGAAACACAGTGACAATGTCAGCAGAGGAACCAGCTACAATCACTAACCCTTGACTGAAACCAATTTACCAAGTTGTGTTGTACAATGACAGGGAGAAAGGGGGTGTGTTGGGCTTTTAAGACACTAATTACTTATTTCCAAGTCGTGCAAGCTCCTTCTATCATGTTTTTAAATAAAAGTGATGTGGTATTAGCCAAGACTGATTTCTACAATCATATACAAAACAGATCCTGCAGCCTTTACTCAAGTACAACCCTTATTGATTTGCGTAAGGAAAGACAGTGGTCTCCACTTGGTAACACCAGTGCCCAAGTGCTATACATGGATTTAGAATTGTTTTTAGATTGAGGAAACAAATACCATTCCCTAGAATATTAAAAAAAAAAAAAAGGAGAGATCTGTCTCTTAACAAATGAACGTAAGAGTTTAAAGAAAAGGAGTACTTGTGGCACCTTAGAGACTGACAGATTTATTAGTCTCTAAGGTGCCACAAGTACTCATTTTCTTTTTGCGTATACAGACTAACACGGCTGCTACTCTGAAACCCATAAGAGTTTAGTTGACAGGTGGGGTGTTTAAAATTTTTAGCACCTGACAACCTTGCTGGCACAGTTTTAAAGAAAAGTGTCTGGTTTAAAAGAAGGGTTATGTTTCTATTACTTGCAGATTATGTACCAAAAAAGCTTTATTTTGAACAAGTTCTCCATTTGGTTTTACAGTGTTAAGATACATCATATTTATGGACAAGCAGCATTTTACAGAAGAATCAGATTTGAGACTAATACAAGTAAGAGGAAGTCACTTGGAATTATGAGTTTATTTAAAATTAAGCATATCCAGACATCAGAGGTACCATATGCTGTCATTTACTTGAGATTAAGAAATTCCATGAACTAAAAGTGATGTTTTTCAATAGAAGAAATCTTAACATTTGGATAGTCATGAGTAGGTACCTTTAAAAAAATATTACCTGTTCTACACTTTGTATATGGGGAGAAGGGGATAAGGATAATAAAGTGAAATTTCTCCATTTCCATTAAAAAGCCTAATTAGCTATTTTAAGTGGCTTCGAGGAAGTGACAACATTTGTGCCAAGTCCTTTTAAAAGTTCACACTGAACAATTTCACAAATGTAGTATGCAGTATTACAGGTGAAGGGCAAGGCTACAATGAAAACTGAGTTTGTGCTAGATTTGTGCTCTTGTGCTCTCACTAGTCAGGTTGTGGAAATGTAAAACTGTAAACACTTTTCTTCCTTGTGAAATTCAGTGACATCCCCTGGTTTGTTATCAGTGTCCCTGAATGCATGTTTGAGTTATGTTATTAATTCACAAGGCCACAAAATGATACATTCAGTGGATTTCAATGACAGAGAAAAATTTTGAAGTAAAATAAAGCAAAGCATGAGAAATTGGGGTCTTTGTAATTCATTTGTGATGTGTACAAGTTTAGGTCTTGTTTACAAACGAAAGCTGTACCAGGCTAAAATGATTTAAATAAACTGGTACAAATCACTGTGTAGACACTGGCTTACATCAGTTGAGCTAGTTAGCAACATGACTTTGTGGTGCAGACAAGGTCTTACACATGCTGTTTGCCACGTGAAACACAAGAAAATAATCACTGATTTGTTTGTAGGCATTGCCTAAATGCACATGAATACCATCCGTATCTTGCTGGATCTTGCAATCTAACTAGAAAAGGGTATTAAGTAACACAATGTCACTGAAGAGAAAATGGGTAAATCTTAACATGTACATTGAGATGAATTAGAGGGCTAAGAGTTAACAATTTCAACCTCTCAATTGGTGACAGGTTTCAGCTCATTGTGATACTGCCACTCAAGGTCATTGAAACACTGTTGAAGTCCTTGAGGTGACAGGAAGCCAGGACCTAATTTCTAGTATATTGAAACATAGAACATCAAAGCCATCTTTACACATCATAATGGTACAGTAAGAGAAAAGCTTCTTTTGCTTTGCCCTTAGCCTTTAAAACCAAGTTTCTGTATGTGCTGATTTCCCCCCCAATCTGGTTAGTGAAGGCATTCTGCACAAATCTGGGAATAACTCAATTTTTATTTTGGCCCAAAAGTTCACCTTAAAGAGGTAAGATGTGTAAGATTTTCTGCTTCCCTCCTTCAATATTAATCACTATTTACCAATTCTAAGTGCCAGTGAGTGCGGTCTTTTCTTATGTTTATCATTTGGGAATAAAATAAAAACTAAAAGTTAATTATTACCCTGGCCACAAAATGTCTATATCCACTGCATTTACATAGAGCTATTCTTCAACCACTTTTAGGCAAGTTCTCATTAATACAAGCTTTTGAAAACACTAGTAGCATTAATAAATTTCCTCCCTTTCTGAAAGCTAAATAATTCCTGACGTACAGGAAGTTGTAACTGGTGGATACTTTCTACAACCCTATATGCTATTTCATGGATTGATAAGCAGACCGGGATCCAAGTCTGATGATACATCTTGTAAAGTCAGCTACTGTACAAATTGTATAGCACTTAAGATGTTCCAGCAACTTGTAAGTGAGAGGCTTTAGCGCTAGAAGAGGCACTGAATCCCATAAAATGTATTTTGCTTTTATGAAGTACAGCTATGATTTGCAGTTGCAATGAAGACTGTAGATAGAGCAAGCCTAAAAGTATCAACTTCAAAATATAATAAAATGCTCTTGTCCATTAGCTTTGCTATGCAAGTGCCTTATGTAGGAAAAGATGCTTTTAATTACAGTTCAGATCTTCTCTTAGAAGTGAGCAACAGATGGAGAAGGTACAGTGTACTTTTCACTAGCGTCCGACTTACTGCTTATCCTGAATACTGATATGCTTTCAGTTAAAAGGACAGCCAATGGAACTTCAAGTAAAAGAAACCTTCCATGAAGGTGGATCTGATACTTAGATATTTTTTTACACAGAACTCATCCTGCTGTATGGAGCATGAGCTTTTGCATGATAACTTGATGGTCTGTTATAAGATACTGCATTCATAACTTTAGCCTTAAATACTGCACTAGATACACTGTCCTCCTAAGGAATCACCTGAGGCAGGTAGGGTGTGTGTGTGTGTGTGTGTGTGTGTGTGTGTGTGTGTGTGTGTGTGTGTGTGTGTGTGTGTGTGTGTGTGTGTGTGTGTGTGTGTGTGTGTGTGTGTGTGTGTGATAAAAAAACCCGCTTAACTATGAATTCTGGCACAGCCAGGAGTAGCAACTCAACTACTCCAGAGGGCTTAGAGAATAGGCTTTAGATTTTACACCAATGAATTGGATTTATTGTAAATGCCACAGTCACAGTGATAGACAGTGCAGACTTCTATTAACATACATATTTTTGTAACTTAGCATTTCTACTGAGTAAATAAATGCACTTTGCACAGCCTTCCTTTAAATGTGCCTAAACTAACCTAAAAAAGCAGACAGCATAGCAGAAAGGGAAACTTAAATTGTAACTGTCTCTTAAGCAATATAGCACTTTATCCATGTATATAATATACTATTTTATATTATATACACAGGCATGCACATTTTCCTTAACAGTTAATTCATACCTGAATGTAAAAACTTGCACACCTCCAATACATTTGTCACCTTTACCGCAAGCATAGTTAATCCAGCTATTTGTCAAGAAAGAGGAATGACAGTAAAAAAAGACTTCCCCCACAAGAAACAAGTTACACAAAGAATACTGTATCACTACAAATTTTTATTCAGAAGCCCATCTTTTTTTTAAAAAAAAATCTCATTAGGAACTTGTTTGGTCAATCGACTACAACACTTTCTACTGGACATATAGTAAAAATGGCATGGCTCAGAATCGACCAGATCTTTCACGATCTCTTGACCGCCTCCTATCACGTTCCCGCCCTCCTCCTCCTCCGCCACCGCCTCCTCCTCCGCCACCGCCTCCACGACCACGATCTCTGGATCTAGAACGACGTTCACGGGACCTTGACCTGGATCTATGCCTGCAAAAAAGCATTAAGATTGTAGCTCTTGAATATAGCGAAACAATGCATCAATATTCTACAGAGTACCAAGGATCAATCGTTCAAATGAAAACACCAGAAAAAAGAAGTAGAGTTCGAAATAAGGTTGTGATTAGGTACTACCACCACCTAAGAGCCCAGCACTTTCAAGCCCACAAGGCCATCATTACAGAATTCTTCAGTTTTAGGCAGTGAAGGGTCAGTATGTATAGTGAAAAATGTTAACTGCAGTCACTTGTCTGAATGGCCAGAAAAGGGTCAGTTCCCTGTAAGTACCCCTCTAAGTTAATTGCACTGTTATGCAGAACCAGTTGCAGCACTGTGAAAAGTCTTTTGTAGCCATTTACAGATTTAATGGTACACTGCAAGCGTACAGGCCATAGGGACTGCTATATATAAAAAAAAACCTAACAAATCAGGATTTTCTGTACTGAATTTCCCAAGTAGCATGTAACCAAAGCATTTTCCTCCTCTTCAGTCTCCCTCCACCTTCTCCATCACCAACACAGTAAGGTCAGTGAGCTGCAGGAGCCCAAAAATGCATCTCTTATGTCACAGCTACTCAGAGCTCCAGAGCCAGCCTCTTTAGGAGGAAGGTCACCAAAAATCTTTGAGAAGGATTTTGAAAGGCTTTAGTAAGTCCGTTGTATTACCAAACGGAAAATTATACATTTAAATTTTTTAAAGTTATGTTACTAAATATGAACTACAGGATTTTTTATTTATAGGCATTGCTATGGAGCTCAAAGCTGAACTGAGTAACTGTGTTTGCCCCAACTTGTGAATACACCAACTTTGTATTTCAGGGGAGTTTGGTGATCTAGGACACGAAAGAATGATGCATTCTGGTGTGTCACAGCAAAAATGTGTGGTGCTTTTTTGGAGATGGGTAGAAGCGTGTATGTGTAAGGCAAAAGATGAAAAAGCAAGATCATTTGTGCTGAGCGTCTACTTTGCCCCTTGTAATTTGGGTCATTTGGCACAAGTCTCATTTTGGTCACAATATTGCCGGTCATCTTTAAATATATATAATTCATTCTTGAAAATCCAATCTCACAAGAAAGGACGAGGAAGGCTTTTCAGGAAAAGAGGCCGAGCTCAAGTGTTTCTGACTAGGGGAAAAGTGGTTGGGAACCAGAAAAGTAATCACGTGGCTCTTAAGTCAGCAGCACATTTTTTACAATATTATATAACCTTCTCAGCATAAATAAGGCAAACAAATGAATCCCTGACACTTTCCATTTAAAATTAATTAATACTTAATTTCTCAGGAAAGCAGGAAACAATGCAATATGAACTTTTCACAATTAAGTTTACTCCTCCAATTCCCGAAATATTGCAAGACAATTTAACAGCATTTTTAGAAAAATATGCATTTTTGTGTTTGTGAAAGTGTTTCATTGATAATACTGGAAAGTGAAGTCCTAACAGCAAAAGAGGTTTCATACTGATAGCAGCAATGCAACATTCGCCAACGTACCTGAATTAAGACTAAAAGAAACCTTTTTGCCACTGCATGGAACTCTGACTATGGCCCACTCGATACACAGCATGCCTACCAATGGGGAACAGTAGCACCAACTGTTATGGAATTTTGTGATGTTGGCAACTGTCCACTAGGAATGGAACCAAGATCACCAACTCATCTGACACATGCAACAATCAGACTTCACTTTCCCAACATGGAATGGATATGAACTGATAACCTAGAGGGGAAACTCTGTACTTCACATTACTGACTCTCTCTGCCACTCTCCATTTTTGATTATTTTTTAAATTTGCCATAAAGCCAGATTAAGTCTTGAAGATTTACAGAAGAGTCAGATTGCGATTCCGTAACAGAACTGGATTGGGAGAAGAAAAAATGATTTAAACAACTTTCCTCAAAGTCAGATCCTATTCTTTGTGTCTTCAAAAAGCTTAGGGGAAAAAAAAACTCTCTAAATTATTTGCATCAGTTTGCTTTAAATTAAAATACGAATGCTTACTTCTTACGACGACGTCCATATAATTCACGTCGCAATTCTCGGGAGATGGGCTTCAAATGCATAAAGTTACAGAATCCTCCTCGCGTACACTCTCTGTGGAGTAGAAGAAAATTACCACAAAGAAAACATTTCAAATTTATACTCTTAGCTTTTCTTCTATATAAACCTGAGGGGTTACGTTAACTGATCTGTGATTTTTTTAATGTAACATTAAACATTGGGAAGTATGACTCTTGGTAAAATATCTTAATTGCCCTGAAGTCAGAGTTACACTTGAGCATAATTTACTGGAATTACTTGTGTGCCTGGTGTATGAATGTCTGAAAGTGAAGGGAAATTTTTTGTAGAGATGAAGAGACTGAGTGCACATGGGTGCTAAGGTATGTGAACTGAGCTTGCTCTAGAATCTATATGTTAGGGTAGCTTTAAGTGTATTTTCTTGTATTTTTACTGAATGCATCGTTTGGAAATGCACTTGAGAAACCTTACTCATGAAAAGCTTAACTTGGAGGTCTCTCTAAGCTACTATAATAAATAAGCAGTAGCAAATATCATTTCGTTACCCCATTTCATATTGACGGCAACAAGCTTCTCTGAAGTCAGTCACAGGTGAAAGCTCAGCATGAATCGGCTGACCATTAAACCAGCGATTGTTCAGATCAATCACAGCCTTTTCTGCATCTTCTTCACGACGAAACTGAGAAGAAAGTAAAATTAACATTCTCAAAATGTTACATAAAATAGGTCAAACATTACCATTTAATTCCTGGCTGGATATTTAACACGTGCTCAAGGCCAGTAATAAAACTAGAAGTCCATTTTATATTCTATTTGACCCTACTCTAAAGTGGTGTCTTAATAAAACATATGTGGGTCCATTCAGTTTATTATTTAAGCAGTAACATTTTAAACATGAACAGGCAATCTGGAGAGGACTTAGTGGTTTCTCTCCAGACTAAAAAATTTTTTTGAATATTAACATTCCATGTTTAAAAGACTAATTGGTCTTGCAGGCATTTGTGAGGAATATGACTTAGATAACATAACTTGCAAGTATATCAGCCTGATGAATACAAAATCATTATCTAACTTACTATTTACTGGACAATTAGAGTTTAAAGAGGCTGTCAAGCATTTTAGACCATGAATTTATGTTCTCTAAGAAGGTTTCATAAACACTTAGTTCAAAAAAGTAAGTGTGCAATAACAAGATTCTGTGAGATTTAAACCAATATCCCATCGTTCAGTGTTTACACTCCAAAACAATACATAGTACTAATTACATAAGAACCAGAAAGCAAAACTGACTGGAAAGTAAGTATGTGATCAATACTTTTCGAATTCCATCAAAATTCTGTGAGGACAGTCAGAAGTCTGAGTGGGCAATGAAAGGGGACATGCAACTGGGACAAGGATTGGGGTTAAGAAGGGTGTCAGGATAAAACTAGGAACACTTAAAATGGCTGTATGCATCTCAGCAATTATTGTAAATACCCAGTTACCCCCTGCCCCCCTTCACGGTCAGGCTTGTACAAATGCCATTTCATTTAATCTGTTTTTACACCTATTTACTGAGTCAGCAGTGTGCCCTTGTTGCCAAGAAGACCAATGGCATTTTGGGATGTATAAGTAGGGGCATAGCGAGCAGATCGAGGGACGTGATCGTCCCCCTCTATTCGACATTGGTGATGCCTCATCTGGAGTACTGTGTCCAGTTTTGGGCCCCACACTACAAGAAGGATGTGGATAAATTGGAGAGAGTCCAGCAAAGGGCAACAAAAATGATTAGGGGTCTGGAACACATGACTTATGAGGAGAGGCTGAGGGAACTGGGATTGTTTAGTCTGCAGAAGAGAAGAATGAGGGGGGATTTGATAGCTGCTTTCAACTACCTGAGAGGTGGTTCCAGAGAGGATGGTTCTAGACTATTCTCAGTGGTAGAAGAGGACAGGACAAGGAGTAATGGTCTCAAGTTGCAGTGAGGGAGGTTTAGGTTGGATATTAGGAAAAACGTTTTCACTAGGAGGGTGGTGAAACACTGGAATGCGTTACCTAGGGAGGTGGTAGAATCTCCTTCCTTAGAAGTTTTTAAGGTCAGGCTTGACAAAGCCCTGGCTGGGATGATTTAATTGGGGATTGGTCCTGCTTTGAGCAGGGGGTTGGACTAGATGACCTCCTGAGGTCCCTTCCAACCCTGATATTCTATGATTCTATTCCAGATTGAGTAATGATCTCATCAACATTATAAAAAAAAAGCCTAGCCTCAATGTTCAAGTTGAGCAAGTTGCAAAGAGTAGGCAAGTTATGACAGTTCTCATAAATTCAACTGCTAGCAAGATGGGCAAGAATTTTAAAGTATGATTTTCATCTGATTGACCCTTTTAAGCATACTGTACTTCTAATTTTAAAGTTTAATACTGTAATGTGCAACAGTGTAAATATGCCATTTATTACATTTCACTAGGGAGAATATAAAACAAGTTAACAGTCTTGAAACATTTGAAAAAAACTGATTGGAATTTTATTTTTAAAAAAATCTACTTGTATTGTAGTTTAACCAGTTGACACACAAATTAACACAGAGCAAGACAGTTCATTATTTTTTAATCGAGTGGACTGAGTTGATCCTGGTCACAACTGAAGTCAAAACTGAACCCAACTATTCTAGTCTTCTCCTTAAAACCATCTGGTGCTTCTGTTCTGAGAGGCTTCAGAGGAATTGCAAGACATTCAGTGTAAACAGAAACTCCTCTCAAGTGCATTTGCTGAACACAACCGGGCCTTTCTCCGACAATGAAGTAATTAACATTTAATTGAGCATGTCACAATCATACTTGTAAGTTAACAATTTTATAGTTCACCGCTCTGAATTTCAATGCCCAAATGTAAATCAGACAACAGTTCATCTATGGGAAATATCTTCAGAACTAAAAAGGTGAGATTAAACCTTATGAAAACAAGACAGAATCAACTGTAAGGGAACGTATTTCTGCCTGGTTTGGATTCTAATCTACACACATGTATACATAACCACTCCAACGTACAGGTATTTACTTTCATAAAGGTGTCACCACGTTTTGAAAATGTTAATTGTGTATATTAAAGAAAAATTTGTATTCATGATGTATTGCAGAGGTGCTTTTGTATCTTACCTTTACATATACATTTCCAACTAGATGATCTCCAAGGTTATCACAAACGTTCATCTCCTCAACTTCACCATATTTTTCTTCCATTTCCGTGAAGACCTCCTAAATATAGAGAAATTTATTAAAAACACTGTGCAAATTAGATGGATTAAACATACCTACAAGACAATCAATCATTACTAAGCAGGAAGACTATTCTCTCTCCCAACACCCTTCATACATTTTTGTTCTAAGACTGTAAATTTCTGGGCAGGCACTGCATCAGCCTGTGTGCATGGAGAATATCTAATACACTGTGAGTACTACAAGGATAAGGTAATTAACGACACAACAAAAAGGTAACTTTTCTTTATTTGGAAAATGAGATATACAAGACACTAAAGCCTTTTGGAAAGAAAAGCCAATCCTTCAGTCTACTACATTTCCAAATTTATTAATTGTTTGCTAACACTGAAGTATACTTTTTAACTCAGCTGTGTGAGGAAAAAAGCAGAATGGGGGAGACACCAAAAATAGACCATATAGTATTTTGTTTTGAAACTTAATCCAAGGTCTAATATAAACAATAGAGTTATAGGCAATTTAAACAGACTACAGCAGGGACTATATGTAAAACTGAAGTTATACGAAAAACATCTAGACACTAACAGGATACACATATCAGTCAAGCAACCAAATGTCTAATTTGTGTTTTTCCCCTCTCCACCATCCTTCCCTGATCACTCCCAGCATCCAATCTTATTATCATTTAAACAGTACACTCTCTGGGGCAGGGAGTGTTTCTTGTAATGTGCATTTAAGGCACTGCTTATCAGAATTAGAAGTGGTAAATCTAGAGAATGATAGTCTTCCTTTTTTGGTCCCATCAAGGATTAGCTGGAAAGTTTATTTTTCTAATTTTTCACTTCCACCGACTAAACTTTATATGTTTGCCTTTGAAGAATATAATGCATTTTAAACAGTGAATTTCAACATACCTCAAAGAATTCATCATAATGTTCCTGCATTTCAACATCGCTCACAGCACCTACAAATTCCAAGAGTCATACTGATTAGAATCAATATTTGAATGACAAGACTCTGAACATACTACAAAATATATTTTAGAGAACAGAAGAAGTCATCTACCGAAGCATAAGAGATGCCATGTAGTTAATCATTAAGGAGTATTAAAAATAACTGTGAGCAGCTTTGAGTCCCAAAAGAAAGGCATATCTCAGTATGTGATACTAATATGGTCAAATCAAGACAAGTTTTAATCAGCATCCAAATAGAACACGCCAAATTTAAGGGGAAAGGATTTACTTTGAAATGTGACTGATTAAATGTAGAACCCCACCCTCTATCTACCAATGGTTTACCTACACAGAAGGCAAGTGCTTTGTCACGTTAACTATTTTAAAGCATGGTTATTATTAATATTTCTCTTCCTAAAGGCGGAGCTTTGTTTAAAGATGTTCACTCCTCCAGTATAAATACACTAGTTTGAGAAATCACTGATGTGATTAAAACTGCAGCTCATCATGATCCACTGAATTTGTTCAGAATACAAGATACACTTTTCTTGTTCTCTCAGTAAAGAGTGAAACTATGTGGCTTTGTTGTAGGAAGCATTTTTCCATTTTATTTTTAATGCCAATTTATCTTTCTGTAATACTGCAGAATGGTCTTGTTTTTGTTTTTTAATGCGAGAGGCTGGCCATATATTCACATTAGATCATTTTCGTGCTCCTAGCTGGCCTTTGCAGGTGAGTGCTGCTTGCCTGCTGCTAAAAAACTAACGTAAATTAAAATTTTGCTCATTTTTCAAAGTATTAAGTATAGCAAAATAAATTACAATAGATATTTCCAATTCTACACCATTTTACCATACATTTTATTTAATAAGTTATATACATTAAAGCCAGATTGCTTAAGTCTTCAGTTAAATGGCTTTATTACAATCAAGTAAAGTAGTTTTAAAATAGAGGTGGCACTTCATGCAAGAACAATATTTTAACCTTTAAAATGCAACACCATTGCTTTTCTGAGCAAAACCTGCAATACGACAGGATGAGGGTCCAATAAAGCTATGTTTATTTGCCTCAGTCACTGTGCAAAAACAGGTGTTCTGAACCCAGCCATTTCTGGATCACAGTGCAAATGATGCCATTTAGAACAGCTTTTCATCTTTACTGAAAGATGCTTAATATTAACCAATAAAACTACCTAATCTTCGTGGAACTGTGGATGATTTTCCTCTATAAGGTTAAAGGGACACTGGTCAAGTATTTTTGGCTCAAGATATTTGACCTTCCAGATTCAACATGTTTGCTTTTCAAGAGACCCTCGCCTATGTAGCAATTTTAAAGAACTCCCAAACATTTAGTCAACATTCACTACATAGAGACAGTTTCATAACTAACCATATTCCCAGGGCTGTGCCAACATAAGGATGATAGCACACTAACATCGGAGTGATTTTTAAAAAAACATCAGTTTGGAAAAAAGGAGCACGATCAAAGTTTACGAAATGGGAAAGTGCTGAAAACTGATATGGACATTCCATTGCCAAACTAAGATTATAAAAAGAAAAGTAAAGGAATTGGAAGTACTTGAGAGTGTCCCTCTAAGATGGAAAGGATAGGCATCATACACAGATCTCACAAATATTCAAGTTCCAGGGCTACCAGTGTCTGAACCTTGAGAAGCCCAACTACTAGATAAAATCAAGACTATTACTAGTCAAAATTAATGTTAATCCTCTATGACAACAATGGAGAGGAAAACAGTAAAGCAACAACATTAAAATAGCTATCCATTAAGAATATATGCAGTATTTAAATAGGGACAAAGCTGAAAAGATATGGGGAGGGTTTCAGCACACCCATTGATAAAATAGAGCTATAACTCTACCATACCAGGTATAGTTAGGCTCTGTTATACAATTACTCATCTATCAAGACAAACTAAAGTTTAAATATTAATATCAAACTCTAGTTTGGAGAACCTGTTTACCTAAAGACTCTTGCAAACTCCAGGAGGGTCTGGGCAAATAAAATCTAAACAGCTGCACAGCAAACCAAGCAACTATAATTCTGTTCAAATTAGTTACCAGCTCACTGAGAACTTAGCTGATGTGTAGGAAGTACCCAACATCCAACTGCATATTTTTAGCAATACACAGATAGTAATAAGACCATAACCATCTATAACAAAAAGCCTACAGGCCAACAGAACTTTATAAACCTAGACAAACTTCATAAGCAACATTCTACTTCTAAAGAAAAGCTCCAGTTTGACAACTGACATTAAGTGTCAGTCATCTAATCAGGGGCATTAGTTTTGTTATAAGATATGTTGTTTATGCTATCCTATAAGTTGTTTATCTTATGAATCACATTTCACTCTGAAATTAGTATTTGATTTCATAAAATAGAATGATATCTAATTAAATGCTGGTAACCAGTGTTCCCTCTAATTGTTCCCACCCATGCATAGAATGAATTTTGTTATGTGCACAAATATGGAGGTGATGTGAGACACCAACTTCATATCGGTGCATGAAACAATCATGTGGTGGGGTGGGACCGAGGGGTTTGGAGTGTGGGAGGGGGCTCAGGATTGGGGCAGAGGATTGGAGTGCAGGGGTGTGAGGGCTCCGGCTGAGGGTATGGGGTGCAGGAGGGCGCTCTGGGGCTACATTGGGGAGAGAGGACTCCCCACAGCAGCACCTGGACTGGGAGGGGAGAGGTATCTCTCCCTGCTACGGCAGCTTCAGGGCTGGGGCTCCAGGATAGGTGCCCCACCCCTGGCCTCTGCGGGTCCGGCCAGGGCTAGGTTCAGGGAAGGGCGTCCCGGCCGTGACAGGCCTGGGCCTAGATTCAGGGAGTGGAGCCCTGCAACAGGTCCAGGCCGTGCCGCCCTGTCCACAGCTGGGTCCGGGTGCGCCACCCTGGTTTGTGCAGCGCTGCCCCTGCTGCGCCTGGGTCGCGCTGCGCCACCTGGATTCAGGCTGGGGTTGGGGCGCCCCAGCCACAGCAGGTCCAGGCTATGGCATAGTTGGGGCCAGGGCGCCGCCTCAGCCGCGGCAGGCTGGGGGCCGGGCAAGGTTGGGGCAGGTTCCCTGAGCACCTGTGCAGTGCTAAATTGGGGCAGGGAACTTAAACTAGTTCGAATTAGTTACCAGCTATGATCCAGTGGTTAAAAAAGTAATAAATGAACAAAACTTTACCACCACATGCTCAATTTGTTATAAAATATTAGAAAAATAACACCCATCTTTTTAGTTCTAAAGCCCTTAACGTCTTTTTCTACTAGTGTCATTGGTTCAATCGTAATGACAGATCAGTAGTCACAAACTGACAATCTCAGTCATTTAACTTCTGTCATGATGCACAATACGAGACTTTTTGCCCATTTCCTAACTACAGAAGAGTTAAGAAATTAGTTCATAACAATATCCAAACTGCTTCCTTTCCCCAAGTGTACTTTTAAAATTATTTCCTACTATGCAAATATGTAACTTAGTTCTGGAATTTGAATTTTCAAAGTAAGGGAGAATTTTAAACAAGCACTTATCCAAAAGGACAGCTGCACAAGAGCAGCATTTGTCAGTCCAATTTATCTTCCAAAGTAGTCACTAAATGGGAGCTACATCATTAGCCTAGGACAAATATTTTTTGCAAGCAGTCTGAAAGTTCCAAATTTGAGTGCTCTCAACACTAACATAATGATGGGAAACACGTTATGGATTAAGTAAATGTGTGACTGTCCTGCTTTTTGAGCAGTGAAGTCTAATGCATACCTTTAAAACATAATAGCAAAAATATATTTCTAGGATGCAGGCAAGTGGCAGAGGGGGAAAAGGGCAAAAGGAGACAGCAGTGGATCAAGACTGCTTTACAGTGGTTATCATTTCAACCACTTTTTGATTTAATGGACAAATATCCAATTTCTCCTAAGAAACAAATTCTTGTGGGGGGGGTGGGGGTGAGAAGGACAAAAAATTGTTGACACATTTTATGAAGTGTGGTCAGTTTGATCCGTTAAGCTAAAATGGTAGACCAGCTTAAGTCGACACTGAGCTCTGACAATCAAGCCCAGGGAACCAGTGAAGGAACTTGTATGAACTTACAGCGCAAACCGTCAGCAGACTGGGAAGAGTTTTGAGGGTTACGGTAAATGTTCAAGAGGGCAATGGTCTGAAATACAAAACGCAACAACTTTATATTATGGAAAAGAAATTTAACACGAAACTGGTTTCCTTTTGGTGATCGCTTTAGCCGAGTCTCAGTGCTGAAAGAGAGGTAGTTATTTTCTCCCAAGAGAGGAGATTTTCACTTAACTGGTGACCTTTCTGAACCAACCTAACACTGTAAAGCAATAGAGATCTCATGATACTCGATTACTGTATTTTTACTTTAACGGTTAGTTTGCTCACCTCCATTACAATAGAAGTGTTTACATGGGGTCAGTCAAAAAAAGTTTCCAATACAACGAATGGTGTCCAAGTGTCATAGTAATAGCTGTAATATGTAAGGTATCAGCACACTCAAATGTTAGATTTTGGCCTTACTGAACAATTAGTGAATAAAACCACCCCGCAAAACATTCTAAAAACAGCATAGGCTCTAATGTATAACACAGTAATCATGGTGTAACATGAAATCTCCATTTCCTAAAGAAAGGAAAGGTGAAATAAAATGCACAATTTTGGGCAACTTACCGTATATCATAAATATACCTAAGTTTTCATATTATATCAAGAATTTGATAAATGCTTGCAATGTAATCATTTTAAAAAAATGAATGCAACAATAAGTGACAGGGTTTAACAGTTACAGGATGTAATGCTCATGCACTGTGCAAATGATTTTGAATCAAGGAAGTCCAATTAGTTTATCTTTTTATAGAAGTCACTTTCTGCACTTTATAAACATGTACATTTACCAAGTTCTTGATATATGCGCAAGAACAGTTCCATCACTTGTCCTGTTTGCAACAGCTTTATGTCAGCAGCTCAGAAGCCAACATTATTTTCTCATAATTAGGAGTGGGCTCTTTAACACCATTCTTTAAAAAAATTTCTCCAACTGTGGGACTTACAGTGTGAGCCGTCAGCCGTCTGTGCACTGTTTTGGGGATTACGATAGATGTTTTGAATCAAGATGGTCTGCGGGGAAAAAAAATAAAAAGGGGAATTCTACTGGCTGCTGTGCATATAACAGACAATTGCAAAGAGACAACTATTCATAAGATTTTTCCTTTTGTATTTGCAGAGTATCTTCTGTAACTGCATCCAAACCATCATATTATGAAAACAGTTTTAAATTAACCACCAAGAAAGAGCGGTGTTTGGTTTCCCTAGTGAATTGTCCCAAGTATATTTACTGAAACTGTTTATTTGGGATAAGTGTATGACATCTTGTGTCAGAAGTATGTCACCTTGCTCTTCAAGCTGCTCAGAGTTATGCAGATACCCAAATTTATCTTAGTTTAAACCAAATTCATTACTGTGAGCCTAGAAAAGCAGCATTTGTATCAGTGCACAGAACATAGCATGCGATGTTGTAAAAACTTTAAACTGTTGCCTCAGATATCAAGTTTTTCAAATATCAACTAGATACCCCCTATTGTCTCATCAAGCAGTTTCTTGGTGGAATTTCTGTTTAAATAATATAATAGTTTTAAATGTTCACGTTTTCCGATCCTTCAATAAAGATCAATATCCTTTTAGCCCTTCTGCTTTTTACTTGAAGAATTAGACCAGGCAGACTTGAAACCTTACATTTGTACCGTTCTTCTTAAAATCAAGTTGTCTGAAAAAACAAACCATGTTTAAGTTAGTAAACTAATATTACATAAAATTCCAATGTCCACATAACTAATCAGCTCAAAGAGATTTAGATTTAATTACTTAATATACAAGTTTAATGTTAGTTTGCATGAACTTTCATCCCCAATTGAATTTAACTGGTGCAATACTTTTGTTTTTTGATGCCACCAAGAGATTAGAACCTGTTAAATTACATTTAAATCATATACTGATTTTACTAACACATCAACCAAACCAATACCTGCACCAGTGGTGACAACACAATAAAATATAACCATGGCAATTGCTCTCTATTAATAAGATCTGTTCCTCAATTTTCTATCACAGCTGATTACCAATATTTGCATAAAGACTTCCATAATCAACCTATTACACATCAGATTCACTAGCAACATCACAATCCAGCTTGTGTGTCAAGTCCAATGCCACACACACAGTAGACTGAATTCACAACATGACCCTGTCAAGCCCAGCAGTTCACTTCAACTGACATCAGCTAAATAAGGATTAAATTGCCAGAGAGAAAATTGGTGGTCCAGGTTAGGAAACAATTACTTTTAAACTCAGGTTTAAAAAGTGATTTCTGAAAACATGTTTAAGCCAGACAGCATGGATGGCAAGTATCCATTAGATGTGTTGTTACAGGAAATCAGTGAAAGAGTTAGGAATTGAACCCAAGTCTCCCTACAACTAGGCCTGCACTAACCCACATATACTAAACAATCAATTTGTAATCACCTAGAGGATAATAGGGTTATAAGGAATAGCCAGCATGGATTTGTCAAGAACAAATCATGCCAAATCAACCTAATTTTCTTCTTTGACAGGGTTACTGGACTTGTAGATGGAGGGAAGTAGTTGCTATGATGTATCTTGATTTTACTAACGTTTTTGACACAGTCCCACATGACACTGTCATAAGCAAACTAGGGAAATGTGGCCTGGATGAAATTACTATGAGATGAGTGCACACCTGGTTGAAAGACCATACTCAAAGAGTAGTTATAAGTGGTTTTCTGTCAAACTAGGAGGGCATATCCAGTGGGGTACCTCAGGAGTTAGTCCTGGATCTAGTACTATTTAACATATTCATTAAATGACCTGGATAATGGAGTGGAGAATATACTTTAACGTTTACAGATAATATCAAGGCTGGGGGAGTTGCAAGCACTTTGGAGGACAGGACTAAAATGCAAAAAACCTGGACAAATTGGAGAACTGGTCTGAATTCAACAAGAGGAAATTTAACAAAGACAAGTGCAAAGTACTTCACTTGGGAAGGAAAAATCAAATGCACAACTACAAAATGGGGAATAATTGTGTAGATGGTAGTGCTATTGAGAAGGATGGGGGTTATAGTAGATCACAAATTGAATATGATTCAACAGTTGCGAAAAATGGTTGTAAAAAAGGCTAATATTCTGGAGTGCATGAACAGGAGTGTCAAATAGGTAAGACGTAGGACACAACTGTCCCACTATACTTGGCACTGTTGAAGCCTCAGCGGGAGTATTGTGTCCAGCTCTGGGCGCCACAATATAGGAAATGTGTACACCTATGGACTCTCTCCAGTTTGAACAACTGAAGTGAAAAAAAAAGGTTAAGAATGTTGACATCTGAGGAAAATGGTCAAGAAACACTGTGCATGTTTACTTTTGAGAAAAGAAGACTGAGGGGGGACCTGAAATCGATCTTCAAATATGTGAAGAGCTGTTACAAAGTGGAATATGATCAACTTTTCTCCATCTCTCTGGTAGGACAAGTAATGGGCTTAATCTGTAACAAGGGAGATTTAGGTTCAGTATTAGGAAATACTTTCTAATTATAAGGGGTAGTTAAATTCTGGAATAGGCTTCCAAGAGGTTGTGGAATCCCACTCATTGGATGTTTTTAAGAACAGATTTGACAAACACCTGTCAGGGATGGTCTAAACTTTATGTGGTCCTCCCTCAGCACAGGGAGCGGGACTTGACTTCCTCAGGTTCCTTCCAGCCCTACATTTCTATGGAATCCGTACTGTAATATTAAAACAGCTTTTAAAAATACATGGTTTCTGACCACTCAGTAGCATAGCTATGTTTGCAAGAGGAATTTTAAAGCAGATTCTTAAAATGGGAGAAAGAAAAGGAGTACTTGTGGCACCTTAGAGACTAACCAATTTATTTGAGCATGAGCTTTCGTGAGCTACAGCTCACTTCATCAGCTCACGAAAGCTCATGCTCAAATAAATTGGTTAGTCTCTAAGGTGCCACAAGTACTCCTTTTCTTTTTGCGAATACAGACTAACACGGCTGTTCCTCTGAAACCTGTTAAAATGGGAGAACTCTATTGTAGATGAGATATTAGAAGTGGTCTCCCCAGGTCACGGTTGAGGCATATTAGCAAGGCACTTCCACTGTTGCATATACTGTATTTCTGTGGCTAAATAGCTGGAAATACAGGAGCTTTCCTAACCGCTAAAAATTTAATAAATGAGAAATCATCTCTTTACCTGCATATCTTGACAATCAGCAATGATAGAAAACCAAGTAAACGCAAACTGGAGTTTAAATGTGGAAATTTTCCAGGAGTGTGGAAGATGTTCTTTGAGAGAACTGTAGTGCTAATAAATCAAAAATACATGTCAACCAATGCCCCCCTCTTTATAGCCTATATCCACTCCTCATTTCACAGGTAACATTTAACCAGCCACAGACCTGGATAATATGTAGAGCCAATTGTTGTATATCCTTAAGCAGCTAGACAGGTAGAGAAGCAATCCTTCCACACCCAATGCGCTAAGCAAGTGACCGCTAACGCTTTTAGCCTGGGCCAAAGATCACAGGAGGGCAGGGGAATCTCTTCTGACCATGTCAGATAAGGAAGCAAATTTGCTTATAAAAAAATAATCTTGGAAGTTCTCCCATTTGGGATGGGTAGAACATGCTGCCATTGTTTGTGGTGTAATCAATCTGGGATGGTTTAAGTGCCTAAACATCTCTGAGAAGGCACAGTTAGAACTGTCTGGTCTCTACTATAGACAAGCTTACAACAGCATTGCTCCCTACAACCTTTAGGGTGATAGGAGACCATGATAAATGCTGGGGAGGAAAAAACACTCCCTCCCCAGAAAAAAAAAAAAAACATAAAAACATTTTCTGGCCTCAGTTAATTTTGGATATGGTAATTATTCATTTGAAGTGCTTAGAACCTACACTTAAAGAGATATGTACATAAATTCTACAAGAGAGAACAAACCTGGCTAAATGTTGGTTTATTGTGCAATCGAGAACATCTGTCCCCATGACGGCAAGCTCCAATTTTGAAATAAAACGAACAGTTCACTCTGCAAGTAAAAAACAACAGATAATTAGTCTATGGAAATACAAGGCAAGAGGATATTAATACACAATTAGCATTTAACATAAAATGCACACTATCAACTTAACTTTAATGCACAATTACATAGGTCAATCAAATCAATAAAGTCCAAGACAGTAATGGGACTAGTTAGCTTATACTGATTCCCCCTCATCCATGACCTGAGAGATCTGCTGAACTCCAGGACAATCAAAAGCGCGCAGAGCAGCTGCAATCTAAAGTACTTAAGTGTACTTATTCAGTACCTGATTGTTAAATTCAGGGTCAGTAGGAAAATATTCTCACTTGTAACCACTATTCTTGCTATTTGTTTCTCCTCCTTCCTCATCCTTTCATTTCTGCCCTTCTTTCCTTTCTGTCTCTCTCTTCATTCAGGCAAACCCCAATTCCTTCCTCCCTCTCAGTCAACTTCACTCCACACTACTTCCCATCCCACTAGCTAAAACAGCCAACAGTCAAATAGTTGACGCTTAAGGGATATCTACACTACAGCTGGGAGGTGTGATTCCCAGCACAGGAAGACAGACTCCACTAGCTTAGCTCCCCCCTCTCCCTGCACCCCCCAATACACAGTTCAATGCTCCACTGGGTCCCAATGAAACATATAAACTGAACACATAGTATTTCTAATTTCACAAATACAAACAACTGCTAGACCTAGCCTTGACTATTTCTCTTTCTAATCAAGAGGTAATTTGTACCGCAGTAGCATAAACTGCCCATGAACCAATGAGAACAGGACTTCATTCTTCTATTTAAAGGACTTATTTACCTGTTATGAAAAGTAAACACAGGCACTAGATAGTGCAGGGAGAGTGAAAACTGCCAATATGGGCTATATACATACACAAAGTATATAACCTTGCTTTTGTCTGAATTTACTTTTCTTTATCCGTACACTCACAATTTACAACAATTCCTTCACATTTCCTTTTGACCAGCTGTAAAAGCAACCAACTTGTTTCAACTGATAATAGCCCACCTTAACTGATTAATTTCATTATAGTTGGTATGGCAACACCCATTTTTTCATGTTTTCTGTTTATATGTATCTTCCTACTATATTTTCCACTGCATGCATCCGATGAAGTGGGTTTTAGCCAACAAAAGCTTATGCCCAAATAAATTTGTTAGTCTCTAAGGTGCCACAAGTACTCCTCCTCCTTTTTGCTGATACAGACTAACACAGCTACCGCTCTGCAACATGTTTACTGGCTATGTCCCCACGATTTCACCTCCCCTCCCCTCCCTTAACTCTGGTATGTTCACTACAGTGGCTAAAAAGCAGAATTTAAATAATTGGTAAATTTCACGTTGTTGCTCCAGCTGCATAGCACAGAGGAACAGAGTGAAAAGCACTTAATTCTAATGGGTTGTACATAACACATGTTGCATATTGACAAAATGATTTTAATAAATTCCATTTTGCAGTCACAATTACAGGCATGGAAGAAAGCTGAAGAGTGCTCAAGTGTTTATTTGGGCTTCTAGGCAGCAACTTCTATAACCAGACCACAGCATGAAACATTCAACACCCATTAAAGATTATATTCTAATTCATACCTGGCCTACACCTAGAATTTAGGTTGACTTAGCATGAAACTTTTCACAGCCCTGAGCAATGTAGCTAGGTTGACCTAACCCGCACTGTAATCACAGGTAGGTTGATGGAAGAATTTTCCCATCGACCCAGCCACTGCCTCTCAGGTTTGGTCTACAGTGGCTCTCAACCTTTCCAGACTACTGTATCCCTTTCAGGACTTCTATTTTTCTTGCGTACTCTGAAGTTTCACCTCACTTAAAAACTACTTGTTAACAAATTTAGACATAAAAATACAAAAGTGTCACAGCACACTATTACTGACAAATTGCTTACTTTCTCATTTTGTCTGTATTAAATTTTAGTTTGTACTGACTTTGCCAGTGCTTTTTATATAGCCTGTTGTAAAACTTGGCAAATATGTAGATGAGCTGATGTACCCCACAGAAGACCTCTGCATGCCCCCAGGGTATGTGTGCCCCGGCTGAGAACCACCAGTCTACACTAGCAACTTATGTCGGTATAACTACGTGACTCAGGAGTGAGTGACACAGTTATACCAACATAACTTCCTATGCACTATGTTGAGGGGTGGGCATCTCCTGTTGACACAGTTACCGCGTCTTGTGGTGGATTACGTACAGCAACAGGAAAAGACCCCCCTCCCATCGGCGTAGATAGCATCTTCACTGAAATGCGACAGTGGTACAGCTGCATCAGTGCAGTTGTGATGCTATAGCATTTTAAGTGTAGACAACCCTCAGAGATGGATATATTACAGCAGTGGTCTCCAACCTTTTCACACACAAGATCACTTTTTGAAGTTAAGATCAATCCAGGCTCTCCCCCGCCCCATCCCTGAGGCCCTGCTCACTCCATTCCCCGGCCTGTCACTCGCTCTCCCCCACCCTCACTCACTTTCACCCAGCAGGGGCAGGGGTGTGGAAGGGGATGCAGGCTCTGGGCTGGGGCCAAGGGGTTCCGAGTGTGGGAGGGAGCTCCAGGCTGAGCCTGGGGCAGGGGTGCAAGCTCTGGGAGGGAGTTTGGGTGCAGGGATCACATGGTCACATTGCACCTAGTTTCACGAGTTTTACTTTTGATTAGTGTCATTTGTGGTTTATAGATCCAAAATCCTTCAGGGATTGTCACAAATCAGTGTAATATTCTCAACTGTGGGGTGTGCATTGGCTGAGCCTGGGGCCTGGGGCCTGGGGCATGGGGTTGGGGTGCAGGAGTGAGGGGTGCAAGCTCTGGGAGGGAGTTTGGGTGCAGGAGGGGGCTCCGGGCTGGGGGTTAGGGTGCAAGAGAGGATGGGAGGTGTAGGCTCCCGGTCAGCAGCGCAGTGGGGGTCAGGAAGGCGGCCTGCCTGCCCTGGCCCCACCCCACTCCTGGGGGTGGCTGGCTACACCGGCCCCTTCCTCCACAGCAAAAGAGATGTGCCAACCAGCCATTTCCAGGAGCAAGGTGGGGCATGACCCAGGAGAAGGGGAAAAAAAAAAGAGTAGAGTTCACTCCAAATCTAAAGCTAAAAACATAACTACAAAACCTCTACTAATTCATAATACCCCCAACAATTTCAACTCAATGACAATTTCAAAATTTCATTTTCAATTCTCCTCACTTAGAATGAATGGGACTGGTGGGGTGGGTGGGAGGAAAATCATGCTTAGTCCCTAAAGGGATCAAAAATGTTTGCACGATTTAGCAATCATCCATTCCATCAAGTAGGCAGCAACATTAGCAAAATTCAAAAGCCACCTACCCTCATTTTCTGACAGAAGGATGACCATAAGCCATCAAAAATCCACTGGGGCAATGTCAGAATCAACGGCATCACCCATTTCTAGAGAACCTAAACTTATCTTTTTAAGAGCAAAACAAAACAAACAAACGAAACAAGACTGCTGGCCCTGGAGTTTGAAAAAATGAATCTCCCAGACATCAATCAAGGGTAAAGAGGATACATTAGTGCTCCTGAATGAGCACAGCAACGGCTCCAGGGGTTTTGCTGATCAGAGCTTCACGAGCAGCAAAGCGACAGCAGAGCCGGGAGGGTCGTTTTCGCTATTGTAATCCAGAGCAGCAGGACCTGGATTTATGCGGCCACAGGGTGTCGAGGCGGCAGCAGAGAAGAGGCGGCTCTATAGAGGACGGCGGGGGGAAGGGAGCTACTAGCCTGAGCACGCTTTGAAAGGAGCCCTCGGCGCGGCGCTGGGCCCCATCCCCAATTGTTCACGGCTCCAAACCGGGACGCGAGAGCCCGCCCGGAGGGAGGCGCGCCCCGGAGCGCGTGCCCGCAGCAGGGCGGCAGACTCCGACAGCCAGGCAGAGCGCGGGAGAGCACGTGGGGTGATGCTCCGCGCGCACAGAGTGCTCGCTCCCTCCCCACCCGAGCCTCCGCCTCAGAATGCGGAGGGGTCCGGGCCGGCTCCCCATGGGGATCGGCGAATAAGCGCGTGGAAAGACTCTCTGCCGCGCGCAGCCCGCTCGGCCTGGGAACAGTCAGCTCCCCTCCCCCACACGGCGGTTACCCACTGCGCGCGGGGGCCTGGTCTCTGGAAGGCAGCGCGCGCCGCCCAGTTTCCTCTCACACCCACAGAAGGCAGCGCGCGCCGCCACGTTCCAATCGCCAAGGCCGCTCCGCCTGCTCCAGGCCGGGAAGCAATGAACTGCGGCGGCGGCGCAAGCAGGGCGCGCGCACGCGCGCTCCATGGCGCGCGAACCCGGGGGGGCGAGGGGGAGACTCCGCGTTGAAACCCATTATATGAACGGGCCGCACGAGCCCACCCCCCGCCATCTCTCCCCTGCAGGGTACCCGGAGCGCTGAGCCTCCGCTGCTGGCGCAGCTACGGGCACAGGGCACTCACTTGTCCTTCTCTGTGCCGAAGATGGAGGCCAGATACTCCGCCATCTCCCACCACCGATCGACCGCCGGAGAGCCCCCGGCGCCGATTGAGCGCGTCACAGCTTCGCGCCGGAAACGCTCCGCCCCGCCCACCGCCTTCCAGCCACTGACCAGCGCATGGGGGAGGGGCTGCTGCCATCCGCGCATGCGCCCCCCAGCTCCTCGCCCGCTTCTCTCTCGCTGCGGGGGTGTGGGGCCCGCGTTCTTCCCAGACTCAGTCCGTGCGAGCTCCCTCAGCCCCGCGCGCGCGCAGCCTGGCCCCGCCCCCCAAGGTTCCCGAGCTTCAGCAGGGAGCCCGCGTGTGAAGCGCAGGGTCGGGAGCAGGGGCAGACCCCCCACCCCATACGTCACGGGACTGGCTCAAATCAGCGGGGTCAAACCCCAGCTGGGGTAGGAGCTGCTCGTGCAGAGCTGTTCCCTCCGCCCCGCGGGCTGTCATCTGAGGCTCCCACCTAATCACGGGACTCCCGGCGCTGGGGCTTTCAGGGCAGCAGCTCTGCAGGGCCAGATTCCTGCTACAATCACAAGGGTTGGCAACACTGGCTTGTGCCCTTGGCTGGAAGGGTAGTCAAGGTCCAAATTTCTTGTTCAAGGTCCAGACTCCAGAATAAAATAATTTGAAAAAAAGGATGATCATTAAATAAAAAGATTTCAGGGTTCCTTCAAAAGTGCCTGGGGGTCTGGATTTGGCCCAGAGTCTGCCTATTGAGTACCCCATAAGCCAACAGGAGTGGGCTGACAGCAGGGCTGGGCTGTGCTGGGTTTTGAAGAGGGAATAGCGAAAAGGAATAAAAACAAACCACAAGAAATCCTTTAAGGACATCAAAAGTAGGAAATCGGTATTCCCCAAACAGCATGTATAGTGTCCTTCTAGTCCTGCGTAAAGTTGTACAGTAACTATCGGTGTGTATGGAAATCAGTGGCGAGGATTATGGGATGCTTCTTTTGTCTAAAACAGAAATATGTGGCTCAGACCATATCTAAGAACAATTTTTATACTGCTACTGAAGTGATTAGGACAATTCACATGCATAAAGTTGTACATATGCATCTGTATCATGGGGGCCAAAAACAATCCTAATTGAAATTTAACAAGCACTCCAGTTCTGGGGATAGAGGAATAAAAATGGCAACTGAAAAATGCACTGAACATTCTTCTGGTTGGTTACAAAATAGACCTTTACAAATGTTTGGTTTTTAATATGCAACAAAAGTTTTAGTAACATTACTGTACTTTGACAATGGTTTTGTCCAATGAAAGGCATTCAGTTGATCTCTAGGCATTTGACAGCTGCACACAAACAGAAAATGCCACGGTGTGCATCAGTTGAGCTAGTGATTGTCAGTAAGGGATGCATCAGGAAAACATAATAAAATGAACTTGGCAAGAGCTGACAGGGATGCACTAACATTTTAAAATAACTTTGGTTTATGAAAATGCATTGGACACAAACCTTTGCTCAAATATCTCCCTTAAAATGGTAACTGACAGGCTTTGATGAATGGATTGCTGTATTTCTATAAGTACTAGTGTCAGTTATCAAAATGCTATATAACTTTTCTCCCTTTAAAAGTCAATTTAAAAATCCCAGCAGAGGCACCATACAAGTTATATTTATGTAGTGCTTTTCATCCTGAAAGAATCCAGAAACTCTTCTGTAGCTATAGACATACAGCACCACTGAACTGGAGCAACCTGGGTTTCTGCGCTTAAAGATGTTATGTCCTTGTCCTAGTGCAAAAAGAGGTCCCTGCTTTATGGCTCTGGTGAGACCCTGCTTGGGATCCTGTATTCATTTCTGGGCACCTCAAAAGACATCATGACCCAGAGCAAGGGTTAGTCCCTCCTGGCATATTACTTTCAGTTCTTATTACCAGAAAGCTTTTGATAAACTGAATGGAGTTCAGCGAATAACAACAAAAATAACTGAGCCTTTGAAGGCCCTGATTTATGACGAAAATTTAAGATAGGTAAATTTGGGTTGCTTGGTCAAAAGACGACTGGGGAGGGGAAATCATGGAATGATCTGCAACACTGTTAACACAAAGGAAGGAAAGGAACTGTGAACCATTAGAGCTGGTCAGGAATTTCCCATCAATCATTTTCTGAGGGAAAATTCACTTTCTGCAAAATCAACATTTTCTGCTGGAAAATTCAAACTTATTTTTTCCATCAGAACATTGTTCCTACCTCTCTGGGATTTCAATAGGTAATTCCCAGGAGCCCAGAGCAGGCTGCTGGGAAGTTCACGCTCCTAGGCTCCAGGGCAGCCTGCCAGGGTTTCTCATAGGCACGGGAAGCAGGGGTGAGGGAGCATGCTGCAACACCCCTAGGTTTTGCGCCAGGCATCCCAGCTGCTGGCCCTGTTCCCCTACCGCCCAGGGTCCCGGCTGCCAGCCCCACTTCTGCCCGGGGGCTCCGTTGCTGGCCCCGGGGTCCTGCTCAGCCCGAGGTCCCGCTCCGCTGCTGGCCCCGCACCCGGAGGTTCTGCTGCCGGCCTGGGGTCCCGTTTGGCCGCCGGCCTCATGGATTCTGCTGCCGGCCTCAGGGTCCCGCTCAGCCACGGGCTCGGGGGCTCTGTTGCCAGCCCTGCATGTGGGGCCCTGGCCACCAGCCGCAGGCCTGGGGGCTCTGCTGCTGGCCCCAGGGTCCCTGCTGCCGGTTCACATGTGGGGTCCCAGCTGCCGGCCTGGAGTCCTGCCTGGCCGCTTGGCCCCGGGTCCTTGCCGCTGGCCCCAAATGCAGGGTCCCGGGCGCCAGCCTCTCGCCCCACGTCCCAGTCATCAGCCCCACGCCCCTAGCTATGGCCCCAACATCTGCCACCTTACCCCTGTCTGCATCCCCCCATCCCAGAGCCACGGCCCTACTCCCGAGCCCAGCTCAAGGAGGTGGTGATGGGCTCAGACAGGGGTGAGAGGGGTGCAGCTCAGCACCCGCACTCAAAAAAATTGTTCCAGTGCCACTGGGATTTCTACTTCCTTGATAGCTGCTTGTCTCCCCATATGTTGGGCAAAGGGAGTTTGGGAAACATTTTGAAAAAGATCAAAATGCATATTTTGACTTTTTCAAAACAATAATTCGGAATTGCCATTCTGCAGGACATTTTAAAATGTACATTTTTGGTTCTGTTTTGGATTTTTATTTACATTTCTGTAATTTCCCACAGAATGAGAATTCCAGGTCCTTCCCAGTTCTATTTAGGGTGACCTAGTGCAGTATAACTTGGAGAAATGGGAAGAGATTAAGAATTTAGGCCAAATATTAGCCAAATCTTCCCCCTGGAGATGAAAGGTGACAGGTTGAGATGTCCTTGTGATGCCATGGTGCTGAATCAAAATATCACCACATGGCAGTCTCATTGCTATAATAAGGGTAACATGTAACAGTCAACATCCTAATTTCTATTCTGATGACTTCCAGCATGCAGACATCAGCTGATGGACAGACTCCCTGATTCTGCTCTACTGCTGGTCCTCACAGGGGCCTGCTAGAAGGGCTTCCCCATGAAATGTAGACTCATTTGCATTTTGGATACTGGAGTTCTGTGGCTGCCTGCTGCTTTGTGCCAATGGGGCTGCTTATTTGAAGTGCCATGATCCAGCTGGCAAGACTGCAATCATCCTGCAGCATTCTGAGAGCTGGAGTGAGAGAGGAAAATAAACACCTGTCAAGGTTCCTTCCCCACTCTGAACGCTAGGGTACAGATGTGGGGACCTGCATGAAAAACCTCCTAAGCTTATCTTTACCAGCTTAGGTCAAAACTTCCCGAAGGTACAAAATATTCCACCCTTTGTCCTTGGATTGGCCGCTACCACCACCAAACAAATACTGGTTACTGGGGAAGAGCTGTTTGGAAACGTCTTTCCCCCCAAAATACTTCCCAAAACCTTGCACCCCACTTCCTGGACAAGGTTTGGTAAAAAGCCTCACCAATTTGCCTAGGTGACTACAGACCCAGACCCTTGGATCTTAAGAACAATGAACAATCCTCCCAACACTTGCACCCCCCCCTTTCCTGGGAAATGTTGGGTAAAAAGCCTCACCAATTTGCATAGGTGACCACAG